CAGCAGCAGCAACAGCAGCAGCAGCAACAGCAGCAGCAGCAACAGCAACAGCAGCAACAGCAACAGCAGCAACAACAGCAGCAGCAGCAAACAAAGGACAGACTTTGCGCTGTTACTGCTGGGGATTGACGATGCACTTTGCTGCGTCTCCGAGGTGTTGGAGATGGCAGCACATGAATCTGCTGCTGTTGCTGCAGTTTCTGCTGCTGCTGCTGCTGCTGCAGCTTCTGCTGCTGCTGCTGCTGCTGGCGGCTTCTGCCCTGCTGCTGCAGCTGTCTCCTGCAGCAAAAGAGAAACGATGAAAAGAGCAGCAAATTAAATAATTGAGCAGAACGAGAGAAAGATAAACAAACAAAGACAAAAAACAAACAAAACAAGTCAAAAAAGAACAAAACAAATAAAATAAAATTAAATAAAATTAAATAAAATCGACAAATATTTCGTATGAATGAAATAGTTTGAAGCAGCTGGAGCTGCAGATACACCCCAATAGACAAAAGAAAAACAAAACAGATAAAGACAAAAGTAAATAAAAGATTATAAGCAACAACAAACAAATAGACGGAAAAACAAAAAGAAAAGAAAAGCAAACTTATGCGTCTACATCTGCTGTTCCCGCAGCTGCTGCTGCTTCTGCTGCTGCTGCTGCTGCTGCTGCTGTTGCTGCTGCAGCAGATCAACATAAGGCTGTTTTGCTTTCATACACGAGGAGACAACGAAGAAGAGACAAAAATATAAACACAGAGAGATAAATAAATAAACAAATAAATAAACAAATATATAAATATAAATAAAGACAGATAAATAACAACAAACAGAGACATATGAAGGCAAAAAGAAATAAAGACAAAGATATATACATAAGCAAAGCCAGAAAAGATAAACAAAAGACATAGAGAGAAACACAAACAAAAAAATAAATACGAACAAAGACAGAAAGACAAAGAAAGAAAAACAAAAAAAATAAACAAAAAGAAGTGCTGCTATAAACAAAGACAAACAAAGACAAACAAAAGCAAACACAAACAAAAGCAAAGACAAACAAAGACAAACAAAGACAAACAAAAGCAAAGACAAACAAAGACAAAGAAAGACAAAGAAAGACAAAGAAAGACAAAGAAAGACACACAGAGACAAGCAAAGACAAACAAAAGCAAAGACAAACAAAAGCAAAGACAAAGAAAGACAAAGAAAGACAAACAAAGACAAACAAAGACAAACAAACAAAGACAGACAGACAAACAGACCTCAGCAGCAAGAGAAACTGCTGCTGCTGCCATCGACAGTTCCATTTGTTTTCTTCGCAGTGACAGCCGCCATTGCTGCAGCAAAATAAAACAAATAAACAAATAAAACAAATAAAAACAAATAAAAGAAGTTAAACAGATAAAAGAAATAGAACAAATAAAAACAAATACAAATAAATAAAACAAACAAAAGAAATAAAACAAATAAAAACAAATAAAACAAATAAAAAGAGTTAAAAAGAAATAAAAGCAATAAAAACAATAAAAACAAATAAAAGAATTAAAAAGATATAAACTAAACCGAAGCAATTTAACAAAAAAAATATTTAAACAAACAAATGCAGATATATACACCGAAGAAAATAGCAGAAACAAAGAGAGACAGAGACAGAGACAATTAATAATAATATTATACACAAAATATCAAACAACATAACAGACAGCTCCTGCTGCTGCTGCTGCTGGTGTTGCTGCTGTTGCTGCTGCTACTGGTGTTGCTGCTGATGCTGCTGCTACTGGTGTTGCTGCTGTTGCTACTGCTGTTGCTGCTACTGCTGCTGCTGCTGCTGGCAGCAAATAAAGAGAATGAGACAAAGACAAAAAAATAATGGAGCATGTAGGGAATCAAACCCTAAAACCTAAACCCTAAACCCTAAACCCTAAACCCTAAACCCCAAGGCGAACCTTCTCTATAGCGGCAAGGACTTTGTTATTTTGCAGCAACTGGCATTGAGAGATTGTCGCTGAAAACCCGAAACAAAAACCCTAAACCCTAAACCCTAAACCCTAAACCCTAAGCCCTAAACGACAAGCCATAGTGACAAGGCTTTTCTTTTAAACGCATGCACACAGCGGACAAACACCGCAGACACACTACACTACAGTATGTTCCTGCTGCTGCAGCAGCAAATGCTGCTGCTGCAGGAGCAGCAGCAGGAACAGCGCATGCAGCAGCAGCAGGCGAAGTTCATTGTTAGTGCTGCAGGCATCATTAGGAATGAAGAAGAAGCACAGACATAGAAAGATAAAATTATCAATACCTTGAATCGCTTCTTCATATAAATCTGCTATTTGAGAGCATCCGCTCTCCCCCAGATACTGCTGAGGGAGTTGCTGCGCCATTGCTGCTGCTGCTGCTGTTGCTGCAGTTATTACTGCTGGAGTTGCTGCTGCTGTTGCTACTGCTGGTGTTGTTGCTACTGCTGCTGTTGTTGCTGCTGCTGTTGTTGCTACCTCTGTTTTTGTTGCTGTTGATGATGCTGTTGCTATTGATGCTGCTGGTGTGCTGTTGCTGTCGCTGCTGCCGTTGCTGCTGCTGTTGCTGCTGCTGTTGCTGCTGGGTTGTTGTTGCTGTTGTTGCTGCTGCTCTCGTTCTCGCTGCTGCCCTGTGGATGTACCTGCTGCTGCTGTTGCTGCTGCTGCTGCTTGCTGCAGCTACAACCCTGCTAACCTTGTCGGCGGCCCCTAGGTTGTCTGGAGCATACGGGTTGAAATTAACAGAGGAATATGAATAGACTAATTATTGAATTTTATTAATTAAACTCAATACTTCTGTGGTGTATAATAATAATAACTTTGGGCTGCCTCTGTGCAGAGAGAGAGAGCGACACACAAAGAAAAGAAAAGTATATATAGATATATATATTGCGAGTGCTGCTGCAGCTACTGCTGGTGTTGCTGCTGCTGGGCTGGGGTGTACGGACGGATTAAATGCACAAAATCCACGGAATGACGGAAAATAGAACAAAAAAATTTATAAATATATCGATTGCTTCAAGGTCAAGACTTCAAAGTAGTAGAGGCTGGCCCCCCAGCCAGTAGTTTGAGTAGCTCTCTTCTGCGGCTTCTGTTCAGCCCCAACAAGCATTTGGGTATACTTTTAATGGAAAGTCAAAGAATAACTCAAAAATAAATAAACAATTGAAATATATTAAGGAGAAATAAACGGAAACAAACAATTCAACTTCTTGAAGTGCGAGAGAGCCTTAATTTTCCTCTCCTTTTCTTCCTTTCCCGTGGAGGGTTTCGCGAGGATAACCGAAATATCATTTCTGCAGCTTTTCCATTTAAATTTATTTTATTTAATGAGTTGTTTGATGCTTCAGATTTGATATTTCAGCTTCACGTGCATCTCGTTTCACCGGAGAATTCACCGAAACCGCATGCAAGTGGAAATGGGTTATTTTAAAACATTTTGTGATTCTGTTTGATTCAATTTAATTATTTCTCCTTTTCGAACTTGTTTATCCACTTTTTCGCCAGCTTTCCCGAGAAAATGTCGCTGAATGTCACTGGAGCTTTCAGCAACATCAACGCCGTGCAGCGTCTAAATGCAGAAGAACTGCGCCTAGGAATCAGCGGAGAGGCGTCTTGGCATCATCAGTACCGGGATTCTTGTTATATATATATTAGTAAGACGAATAAATGAATATATATAAACAAACAAATAGCGAAAAAACAAAGAGTTTACCCCAAATGCACGCCTCACACTGACAAGGTATTACGCAAAGGAAAGGGAGAAGAAACTGCTGAAAATGAAGATGTTTATATGATTTAATGTGTGTATTTTTCATGAAGTCTCTGTTTTTCATTTGTTTTCGCTTAATCAGAGCCCGTTTGTTGTTCAAGTTTCTTTCTTATTTCTCTTTGATTTCTGCTGTCTATGTACGCCGGCGATGTAGGCGGCCTTGACCCGCGACTAACTGAAGGCGATGTAGCAATTGTCTTCTCTCAATGGGGAGAGCCAATTGATGTTGTTTTAATACGAGACCAGAAGACAGGCAAGCCCTTCTCTGCTGCTGCTGCTGTTGCTTCTTGCTGCTGCATTCCGCTGCTGCCGTCTGCTGTTGCTTGCTGCTACTGCTTTATGCTGCTACTGGTGCAGATTTCTGCTGCTGCTGCTGCTCTTGTTGTAGCTTCTAACGTAGCTTTGTGGCTGTTGCAGTTGAGTGGGGAAGGTAATTGTTTGTGTGGAGCTCTTCGCTTGTTTAGTTTTAATCTTTTTGATTATATTTGTTTATTTCGTTGCAATTTAAATGCAGGAGTGCCCAGAGGCTTCGGCTTCCTTGGCTATGAAGATCAGCGCTCTACTATACTCGCTGTAGATAATGCTAATGGAATGAAGCTGCTGCAGCGAACACTTCGTGTAGACCACTGCAAAGACTTCAGACCCCCAAATACAGGCAAAGAAGGCGAAGTAATTCAACGCAGCAGCAGCAGCAAATCAATACATCACCAGCAGCACAGCAGAAGCAGATAAAGCCGGCGGTAGACGCAACAGCAGTAAAAAATAGCAGCAGCAGCAGCAGCAGATAATAGTAGCGGCAGTAGCAGATAAATGCAACAGCTGCAGGAAGAGCAGCAACAGCGAGTGAAGCTAGCAGCTTCAGATGTCGTGCGTTTGCTGCTGTAGAGATGCAGCAGCGGCAGGTGCTGCTGCTGCTGCAGCTGCTTTTCCCTGCTGCTGCAGATGCTGCTGCTGCTGCTGCTGCTGTCTTCTGCTGCTTGTATCGTAGGGCGAGACTTATCAGCCTACAGGAGCAGAAGGCGCAGGAATAGGAAAGTATTTGGTAACTAAGAGAGAAGCTGCCCTGCACAAGGCCCGCATGCAGCAGCAGAAGCTGCAGCAGCAGCGGCAGCAGCAAGCGATAGCGCGCGCAGCTGAAGGCGCCAAAGACGTAGACGAAATGTGGGCAGAAGAATTTGAATTAATGATTTCAAACGTAAGCCTAGCGGTGCTGCTGAGACAGCAGCTGCAGCAGCAGTAACAGCAGCAGCTGCAGCAGCAGTAAAAGCAGCAGCAGCAGCAGCAGCAGATAGAGCAACAGCTGGAGCAGCAGTTGAAGCAGCCGCTGCAGCGGCAGCTTCAACTCACTGTATGAGGTGTCTGTACACCTCAACGACCCAACGCTCCCACACCACAGCATCACGAACTGCATGCGCTTGCCTCTGCCTCATATATATATATATATATATATATATATATATATATCCGTACACTGTTTTCGGTGTATCTGCAGGTGTTCGGGTGTATGCTGCATGCATTACATGCGTTAATTTAATTTAATTTTTTGTTTTTGTTTGTTACAGCTGAATGCCACAGCGCAGGCAGAAGTAGATGCGCTGGAGCGCGAAGACAAACGACTTAGAAAGAAATTGAAGAAGGAGAAGAAGCGGCTGAAGAAAGAAACAAAGAAACAAAAAAACAAACAACGTCATAGACGCAGCAGCAGCAACAGCAGCAACAGCAGCAGCAGCAGCAACAGCAGCGCCAAACACTCCCAGCACAGCCGCTCCAACTCCGCTGCAGCACCAGAGCAGCACCAGCAGCAGCAGCAGCGTGAAATAAAGTCAAGAGACCGCAGCAGCAGCGCAACAGACAGAGGCAGCACAACACCAGACATGCAGCGAGAAAGCAGCAGCAGCAGCAGCAGCAGCAAGGGGGATCGATATGCAGAGAGCAGCAGCAGGAGAGAACGGCACGAAGGCAGCAGCAGCAGCAGCAGCAGCAGCAGCAGGAGAGAACGGCACGAAGGCAGCAGCAGCAAGGGAGACCGATACGCAGACAGCAGCAGCAGAGGCGATCGGCATGAAGGCAGCAGCAGCAGCAGCAGCAAGGGAGACCGATATGCAGACAGCAGCAGCAGAAGCGATCGGCACGAAGGCAGCAGCAGCAGCAGCAGGACGGCGGATCGGCATGATATCGGCACCAGCAGCAGGAGGGACCGGCACGAAGGTAGCAGCAGCAGCAGCAGCAGCAGGAGAGAACGGCACGAAGGTAGCAGCAGCAGCAGCAGCAGCAGCAGGAGAGAACGGCACGAAGGTAGCAGCAGCAGCAGCAGCAGGAGGGACCGAGACGAAGGTAGCAGCAGCAGCAGAAGAGACAAGCATGCGGACGGCAGCAGCAACAGCAGCAGCAGCAGAGAGTGTGGGGTTTTGAATGGAGAGGCAGCAAAGAGAGAGAAGGAGAGACAGCGAGAAGAGAGAAAGCATCTTGGTAGCCGCAGCAGCAACCGCAGCAGAAGCAGAAGCAGAGAGGCTCTGCTGCTGCGCTGATGCAGCAGCAAAGACGAAGACGCTTCATTAATTTACTTTTTTGTTTTTGTGAATTGTTTGTTTGTGCATCTCCATCTCCATGTGCTGCTGCTGCTGCCTCTGTTTTGCTGCTACTCTTGCTACTTGCTGCTGCTGTCTCTGCTCTTCTGCTGCTGTTTGTGGCTTGCTGCTGCTGTCTCTAACCGCTTCCTTGCTGCTCTCTCTGCTCTCAGCTTCTGAGTGCTTTGCTGCTGCTCTCACTGTTTCGCTACTAGCTGCAGCGCTGCAGCAGCAGAAGGTCGCGTGTATACGGAATGTATGCAGCAGCAGCAGTAGCAGCAGCACCAGTAGCGGGTGCAGCAGCAGCACCACGTGCAGCAGCAGCAGCTGCTGCAGCTGCTGCAGCTTTGTCTTAGACTTCTGTTTGTTTCTGTATAAAGGATTTATTATTATTATTATTTGAATTGCGTAGAGAGACAAATGCAAACAAAAACAAAGCCGCCAGCCCCAGTCCTCGGGTGTACATACACCGCAACACAGCAGCGACAATATACAGCACAACTGCTGCGACTGAAACCAGCTGCAGCAGCTGCAGCAGCAGCAGCAGCAGAATGCGTTGTTTGCTGCCTATAAAAAATTGCATAGACCGCAAACGCAGCTCTCCTCTCATCCTTGCAAATCAGGAAAACTCGGGGCTTGCTGCTGCGGCTGCTGCTGTTGTTGCTGCTGCTGCTGCGGCTGCTGCCGCTGCGGCTGCTGTGGTGAATCCTGCGGGAAGGGCGGTGTTCGCTGCTGCTGCCACTGGGGCTGCCACTGCGGCTGCTGCTGCCGTCCCTGGGGGAACGGTGGTGGCTGCTGCGGCTGCTGCTGCTGCTGCTGCTGCGGCTGCTGCGGCTGCGGCTGCTGCTGCTGCGGTTG